CGTAAAAAGAAATAGAGGTAATGAAAAAAGAGGTGCCGAGGTTCTGGAGAGCCGAAGTCCCTCAGAGGAGGGCTGAGTGGTAAAGGAGTTACTCTGGATGTCGAAGATGGAGAGGAGTGCTTTTATACCCTGGTATTCACAGATCACAACGATTGCAAAATTCCAACTGAGGTAGGGTGCCCAAATATTGAGCTGGGGACCAGAGGTGTTGCATCATAGTTATGCAGCTGCTCTGTACGCAATTTTTAACAAAAAACCATAAATCATTATGTGAAATATTATGCAACAAGAAATATAGATAAAACAACGCAATAATCATAATATAGGCATTAAAACTGTTAAGAACGCCCTAATAAAAGTAATGATGATAAAACAGGTGCAACACTAACTATAATATAAGTAAAACAAATATTATGGAGATTTCAGGGCAATAAACAGTGAGTGTCCGTGATCAGGAGATTGAAGGGGAGTGGAGGAGAGCTTGAAATTGTCTAACATGTTAACATATGCAGTTGATTTAGCCTTGCTGGCCCACCGTGGAGAGGAACAAAGTCAAATTTTGATAATTTAATGAAAACACTCAGAAGTGGCATTTAGATCTCCCAAAATGGGCAAGAATTAATTAAAAAACAGACAAATAATAAAAAAAAATACTTATTAGAAATGAGCAGTAAAATTAATAGCAGCAAAAAAATATAACAGCAAAGAATTTTTATTATGCCAGTTGATATTTGTATCAGTGATAGAAATATTAACTGGCATAATAAAATATTGTCTTTCATTCTCATTTCGAATTATTACTTTTTTACATTTAACTTACTTACTCTCATCATACTTTTTAAAAAAAAAAAAACTTTTTATCACAATCGTCGTACTGACGAGGTCCAATTGCGGTAAAGGTAAGAAATGTATACGACTTAATGGACCGAAACATTTCTTACCTAATTTAACGCTTCCTTTTCACCTTCTTCCCTTTTTTATCTTTCCTATCATCCTTTCTTATATTTTTTGACAACATTAGTACATTTTTCTTTTAAACCTTAAATAGCTAAAGGCAAAAAAAGAAAAATGAAAAATGTTACGAATTATGTAAGTGCAAATTTGATGAC